TGTTTAACACACCTGGATGTCAATACCATGAAATAAAAGCTGGAATTCTGAACTTTTGTCTCATATTCATCTTTTGATCTGAAACCCAAATGTCTTCAGTATACAATAAAAACAAAGGAATTGCCCTTGCCGTTCCAATACTTTTGGAGGGGACTGTGTATATATATACTGTACATACACATACATATACATACATATGTATACCTGCATGCCGTTCAGGAAATTAATCTTTGAATATACTGTATATACAGAAGGTCTGAATATATATACAAAAATCCTGAATATATATACAGAAAGTCTGAATATATATATACAAAAAGTCTGAATATATATACAAAAATCACAAATATATATACATAAATCCTGAATATATAGAGAGAAAGTCTGAATATATATACAAAAATATGAATCTAAATCTTTATTAGTCCACACTTTGATTATCACATAAGACAACAGAAGGTCAGAGGTGAATTAAGATGAGGCAGAATTAACAAGTTATGTACTTTCATCGCGGTAGGTTTACTTTAAATGGAGAGCAGACAGCATCATGATGAAGTGAAATGGTAAGGAAAAGTGAGAAAAGACTTACAGAGGGTCGGGGTCTTCAGGATGCAGGAAGTACCTGTTACAGACTTCAGGGCTGCTCTGGTTATCAGCCGCGGTAGGACTGACCAGGAAGCTGCGCTTATTGGCATTGGAGATGGGCACTGTAGGACGGGCACTTTTAGGCTGAGCCACAGCCCGAGCTGAGGATGAAAAGAAGAGTGAAAAAAACAATTAATAAAAAAAAAAAAAAAACGAGAGTTCAAATGCCTGAGTCCGAGTAAGGCATTCTGTTCTGTTTAGTTCTGTTCAGTTTGTCGGTGTTTCGATAATGAACTAAGCTATAATCAAAACAGTCTGAGCCACTTCCTGACAGTGATCAGGAGGAACAGCATTAAGTCTCCTGACAGCCTCTAACCACAGAGAAGGGAAGGGCCGGTCAAAAAGTTCTAAGACAGATCTTCACTAAATCAAGACATTCAAGTGAAAGAGCACTTTAAAAAAAAAAAAAAAAAAAACTTTACCGTCTTTGAATTCCTGCAGATCTCTGGGCTGGACAAACTCCGGCTTGACGGTCTCAAACAACCAGAAGAGTTCAGCAATGAACACCATCACATTGTGCTAAACAAACAAACACCAGGAAACATGGTAAAAATACTTTACTGCTGACATTTATATGCTTCCAAATATGTCTTGTTACAAATAAAAAATAAATAAATCAATAAAAGGCTACTTTTTATACCTTTAGCACTAGCGGTGAGTAGAGCATGTCTTCCGTGGTCAGACAGAAACTTTTATTTAGATACTCATTGGCGTACTCTTTGAGCAGGTGAATGTTATAGAGGCTATCAGCGATAGAGGGCACTTCCTTCAGGTGGATGTCTAAGATAAAGACAGCAGCTTGTTAGGAGGCAGCTAAAAGACTGATGGTAACCACTATATAATGGACTAGAACAGGCATGGGCAAACTTTTGACTTGTGAGCCACAATGGGTCCTAAAATTTGACAGGGGCAGATAGAAGAGTGGTTGTGTCAACTAATGATATATAAATTAATAATATAATTTGGCCAAGTTTGACGGGCCAGATTAAAAAGCCATATGGGCCACATCCAGCCCCCGGGCCGTAGTTTGCCCATGCCTGGACTAGAAGACAGCCCCTGCTCAACACACCTTCCAGCTTCATGATGTCTGGGCAGTAGTAGTGCACCACAGTTAGCAGAGCAGCTCCATCGCAAACATCTCTCATCAGGTCCTCTACAAGTGGGAAGCTCAGGCGATGGCCTGCGGGATGCTCCCGACGATACCGCACCTTACCACCAGAGAGAAAATGAGAGACTAAAAAAAAAAAAAAGGGGGACAGAAAGAATTCACAAAAACGAGACACCTCCATGGTTCAATGGTTAATGACCTGCACAAATATAGTAAACAGCAGCTCAAGGTTCTCCCCAGGAGTTACCAAAGTGAAACGTTTTTAACATAATTAGGATTGATGTCACTGTAATAACTTGTAATTTTATGGAGAACCCTGAAGACTATGTGAGATGGTGACGGTGAAGGTGTCGGAGCAGTGACATGAACAATTGGGCTTGGAGTTCTTCCTTTGGCTGTTTGGAAGGAAGCCAGTCGTGAAACCCAAGTAACACAGGCAGCAAAAGGCAGCTTAACTGGGGGGTCATCACCGGCCCCTTTAGGTGAAAAGATGATCGTCAGTATAAGGACTCACTCTTAGCAGTACTCTGATATGCATCTTTATATGTACAGACGTCAAGTATAAGGAATAATATCAGCACCGCCACAATGACACGTGTACTCGGCTAAATAAAAAGTAAAGTATAAAACCTGCAAAGCAACACAAATACAACGCAATTTTATTACAGTGATCATTCTACCGTCTTTATTTTGTATTTGTATTTTTTATAAGGAAACCAACAAATTTGTCTAGTTAAGACTTAAACCAAAAAAACAAAACAAAACCAAAACAGCATGATATGAAATTCCTTTACTAATGAGGTGCTTGAAGCAGCAGGTCGCATACAGAACTAAAATAGAAGCTCTTCCTAAAAGTTAGCGTAGCTGAGTCCTCTCCTGACAAGATGGAAAGGTTTTACTGCCAAAGAAAGCTAAAGCATGCGATGAGCTAGCTCGTGCAGCCTCAAGCTAACAATACACTACACTATAGCAGAAAGGACCAAGCAGGACAGTGAGAGGAGAAGTGAAGGCATGGATTTGCTCTGAACTTAAAAAATTAAAAATCTCAAGCACACGCACGCAAGAAAACACACAAAATCTAGTGTAGTAGTGTAGAATCTGTTTGGACCCATTAGAACATGTTGGATTTTCTGCTTCATTATAAAGAATTAGTTTGAATCCTGCTGTGATTGACAGCCAGGTATGTATGTGCCAGATTCTTGCCCACACACAGCCGTATTAATACACTTAAAATAAATCAATACAAAAAAAAACTTCTCAATCATAAACTAATTCACACAGCAAATCCACAAATTGCCCGGGCTTGAAATGAGAAAGCTAAAATAAAATCTCGTAACCACTTGACAGAGGTCAGAGGAGTATAACACCTGGGTGACATATATGCCACAAGGCAAGAGGGGTGAGGCGGGGGTGGGGTGTGTGTGTGTGTGTGTGTGTGTGTGTGGAGATTAACCAAAAGCTTGCTCCCTCTTGCAGACACACTGGCAGCACAAAATGAGCTTGGATAAGCCATGGTGGAGTGTGCAGGCACATCAGTACAGAACCTTGGGTGCAAGGGGGGAGGAGGGGTGAGAGAAAATAAAAAGGATTGATGGGGCCACACGGGAGGCTGGCATCCAACTTACAGGGACTAGCTTCCAATACCATTTGGAGGGAGACTATCCAGTTTGCAGGGGTTAGAGCAGGGGTGGAGGTAAAGATGAGGAAGAGGAGCAGAAAGATTAACAGGTCAGAGGTCACAGACATAATGCTTGGATCTGCAACTGGTCATCAGACAAAAAAAAAAAAAAACAGTGGGTCAAGCGTCACAACAAAATGCCATCAGTGAGATAAATCCCTAATAAATCTGGTGACCTGAGCCACGTTTAATTACCATAATATTTTTATCCTGGACAAATACTACAGATGGATCTGGATTTTTTCAGAATACATTTTTTTTTCTAAAAAAAACATTGTTTTGATGCTAAAACTTGTTGGCTTTTGTTGTCATTTAAATATCATGACATTTGTCTCAGGTCTGAGGACCAAATTGAAAACTTGAATTTTTTTTTTACCTTTTGATGACTGGGGGACTCCAGTGGATGGTGTTTGACCTTGTGTTCTCTTTCAGTAACCTCTCTCATCTTCATGTTGACCTGCAGAAAAAGCAGTGATTTCATTGGGTCAACCAATGTCCACACAAACAGGTTGAAAACTAACTTCAGGACAAGGGTCTTTAGAGGGGGTCTGTCACCCCACCATACTAAAGCTAATCACAGAGGATGGCGTTGACAGTCGACAGTGTGTTCAGACCTTGTTGATCCAGAAGACCATAGCGTCCTCCAGGTCAAATGGCAGCTCTTTGGAGGCACTGAAGGTGGAGAAGCGCTTTACAGAAGCCACTACCTTCTCGATGCTGAATATCTCCACTGTGTAGGCCATCATCAGAGCATCGATCATTGGCATGTGAGCACTCTGAATGAGACAGTAAGAATAAACAATAAAGAAACCTCAGCGTATTGGTTTCCAAAAATTAAACAGAACATTGAACAAACCAATCATTGTGATGTCAAACTAAAACAGCACCACCAGCAGACAGGGGTGAGGAACTTGTTAAAAAACAAGTAAATATGTTTTCATCCCTTCCATCGCGGCTTCTGTCTGTCTCTATTAAAAACACAGGCATGGGTGATTCACTTTGCCACTGACAAGACAGATACACATCCCTGAGAGTCTGCACAGAGGCACTGTGGTTGCCATGGTAACAAAAAGTAAGAAGATGGAAAGATCTACTGAGCAGCTTGGTGTTCGTACATTCCTGTCTAAAGTACTTTCACGATGCCACAGGAGAAACGCAGTGACGTGTCGTGACACAGCGTGGATGTTTCCAGTGTTGAGCTACAGGGTGTACAACATACAACAACAGCTGAGGTGGAAAAATCTGATGACTGTTTATGGACTAGAGCTGAACTATTGCTGCTTGTAACCCCCCCCCCCCCCCAAAGATATATAAAATGTTGACTTATTATAAACACAATTTAATAATGTACAAAAAATAAAACACTGCGTAATGAAAAACACAGAAATACAAATAATTAGTCTATAAATAGACTGGATCCCTGACTCATCATACAAAAACAAAACCTAAGATCTTTAACATCAGCTTGATTTGCATCGCGTTCTCATTCAGCTCATTTGCACAAACTCTTATCACACACATTTGAATGATAAGGATAAGGACCAGTACTAGGCAAAACTGTGTTAGAAAAAAAAAACTGAACATGTCACTCTACCAAACTGTTTACTTTAGACCAGTGTTTATTTTAAATTCAATACTGATGTTTTGAAAAATAATGTTTATGTTATTTATACAGTTAGAATGCGAACACAGTTGAGTGGGATGGGTTTTTCCTCCTCGTTTGCTAACAATCTAAACATGACTAATGACTGTGATAAATCTATTCACCTGTAACACTGATGTACTGCTCCAACCAATTAAAGCTTCTATTTAAACTGGACTGTAAGAGGAATACATGGAATACAGGAACAGATGTGTAAATGTCAAAATAAATTCAATACATGTAACAGTAGTAGAAAGTTCACATTATTAAAAAAGTTATTTAATTATATATCTTCCTGTGATAAGAAAATGTAGCTCAGTGATATATTGTACACTCAGAAATAAACAACATCGTATTTAAATAATCAATATATAGGGATTTGAAAATATAATTTTCAGTAATAAATAAAAAATTAAAATAACATTTATTGTTTATCTTTCTGGGCTTTTCAATGCACTCAGACTGAAAGCAAACATGGAAAAATACAAATTTTTTTTTGTTCAAACTAGAGGTTTAACATCATGACTTTGAGGTTTGCTGCAGTAAACAAACACTGTCCTAATTCACTCTGCACACACACGACAGAGTAAGATGTTACAGTGACCTTGTGTGTGTGTGTTGTATCTGTAATACGAAAGGATTGATTGTCATTATATTAAAAGGCTGATGTAAAATTTGACACTGGTTTACTGTTTCATTCCATTCCAGTTAGCACCAACGAACGTGCGCTCAACATCACACGGATGTCTACACACGCATGACTGCTGGGTGTGCGTAGAACATTAGCTTCTCAACAATACATCAGAAACAAGAAGAAGTGAGGAAGTGATATGCAGCCTTTGTGGTTAATGGCCTGGTTTCCTTCTTCCCTGATACAATCTGTGCTGTATGATGAGATTGATGAATCGGCATTAAACATCGTGTTAAGATGTTCTAAATACATTTATTCAATCTTTACAATATATTCATTGTATTAAGTTTACATATCAATTTATACTGTTATTGAATGCTGTTATTGTGCTGTACTAAACGGGAAAGTGCTGAAGACAGGTGTGCATGCTGGTGGATTACATAACAATATGATATGGACAGCACTGAATGAAAGCGACTGTTACACTTGGAGATAGAGACAGGACACAGAACCGGTCAGAACTAGTTTCTTTGGCCAAATAAGGATACTGACGGAAGACCAACAAAAGACAAACAGAGAAAAACATCCGAACTGCATGGTCTTATCTGACTTGATTAACTACAGCACATCCACATAGCTCCTATTGGTGGAGAATCCTTGTTTGGAGCAGTCTTTACCAATCAGTGCTCAGAAGTTACGCGAGAACACC